GAAAGAGGAGACAAGGTCACCTGCTGAGCCAGGAGAGGGAATGGTGGTGAGTTCAAGGGAAGTGGTGTAGCTTTGGAACCGATCTTACAGAGATTGGAAATACACATGTCCATGAAATGTTAGGCTACATGCCTGCATGGCTCCCAGTGGCCTGATAAAGGCATGGAGAAGGAGTGGAAAACAACAGAATGGAGATGATGGAGAGAAAAGATGTGGGGAATGAGTGTACTAGTGAAAGTGACACTGAGATGACTGACTGTGGAGTATGGGAGGAAAAGAGAAGGAACACAGGACAAGACTGAAGGACTCAGAGGAGGAGAAAAGTTAGAGGACTGACTGTGCAGAGGGGTATAAGAAGCAGCTTGATTCCAGATCACCTGCAGAGTGGACCTTCCTTCTGCTTGGGACCCTTGGAAATGCTGCTCACATTTGACAGCTCTGACAGCTGTGTGTACACTGTCACATTGTGTGTGGGAAATCTTTCCTTAGGAGGCCCAGTGGGCCCCTTGAATTCAAATCTCATCTACTCAGAAACACATCCACCTCTCCCTTTGAAGTGCTTCTCCCTAGACCCCTCAAAGGGAATTTTATAAATGCCATGTAGCCTATATTTTAAGTCAGATAATTTTAATTATTTCCCTCCAATTTGGGGAATATATCTACCCAGGTCATTTTATGGACAAACAGCAATCTAATTTTATATTGTATTGACATTCTCTCATTGTTTTCCATTATTTTGCATGGGGTCTTTTCATTTTCATAATTTGATGACAAACTAATTGAGCATAACAGTCCCTTACTGTGGATAGCCAATGGAATGCCATGTGGCCTGCTCCTGGCACATGGCAGGGTACTCAATAAATGTTAGCGTAAAGCTGACTTTATCTGCTGAGATCTCGACTAGTGTTTAAACTAAATAAATGCCAAAATTATCATGAATCATGGAAAGCATTTGCTTGAAGATGAAATGACTTATTAAGTAATTTAGCAAAATTTGTTGACTCTACCTGTGCCAAGACCTACGCTAAACACTGGGAGTAAAAAGAGACCAACCCCATATTTCTGGCATGAGGGAGCCTGTAGTTATATAGAGGGCACAGGGGTATACGCATAATTACAGCACAGTGTGGAAAGGGATTGGGATATTTGAGAAGAATACGGATACACAGAGTAGAGATAGAATCTCTCAGGCTGGGGTCAGGGCAGGCTTACCAGAGGCGACGATACTTGAATGGAGCCAAGGAAGACCAATGGAATTCCAGCAGACAGAGAGGGGAGAGATGAACAGACTGGGCAGTGAGAAGGGACCATTCAAGGGCATGAACACTGGCGAGCATTGTGGGCTTTCGAAACACCAGGCGAGGTTCCTTTGAGGGTGTGGCAGGAAGTCAGGCCAGAAAGGTAGGTGGGTGCCAGACTGAATGCCAATCTAAAGAATGCTAGCCCCAGCTTCCAAACTTCAGGCACAGAAATATTTAATCAGTGTCACTGAAACACAAGTGAAACAGACAACAGCCCAGCAGGTCTGGTTGGGAGTAGGGAGAACAGAGACCCACTTGTTCAGCTGCTCCTGGATCCCATGCCCTCACCTCTCAAGCACTTGATGTTGTGAGGGAAGGGCTTCAGAGGAAACCCCGAGGATTTTGAAGGGTAATTTGAAAAACACTGCTGTGGTAATTTGGGAAGAAGTGGCTGACTATTAAAAATAAGGGGGAATACACTCAGGTAGACCAGTGGTGTAGAAAGGTAAGTAGTAGGAGGGCTTTGAACATAGTAGAAGAGAAGAGACACTGTCATCGATGAGAGAGGAATCCAGCCTGGGCTGGCCTGGGACAATGGGTAGGAGTGGAAAGGGACATGGGAGATTCGAGAACCCATTAGAGTTCTTGGTAGGTGGAATCCACATTAATTAGAGACTCGTCCAGGGGACCAACTAGAGAGAGAATCATGGGAAAAAAACCAAAGGCTTTGGGAACCCGTGTCCAGGGCTTGAAGTGGTTGGTGCCACAGACCTAATTATAACAGAGGGAAACTCAGGCAGGACAGAGCTGAAACCATAACCTGTCTTCTGAACTTCCAGGCCTCGTGGGAAAAAATGAGTAGCCACTGATTATCCTGATTTAGAAATTAACTTTATTACACCGCTGGGGTGGAAAAAGGCCAGAGCCAAGCGCTGACAGGGCTGGGGCGGAGCTGGTCCATGCATGGATTGCCGGAGGCACTGTCGTTTGGAACAATGTTTTTGGAATGCGATTTGCATACCAGCGAGTGATTAAAATGTTCAAGCCATGTGAACTAGTAATTCTGCATGTGGGACTTTGCCCTAAGGAAATAGTTCAAAAGAAGAAATAGCCTGGGCTCATCTATCCAAATGTCAAATAATTAATTAAACAATTAATTAGAAAAAAATACATTGTGCTACGTACATTCCAGGAACTCTGCTAGGCGAATGAATATGTTTTCTGTGTGGCAATGTTAAAATAGTCAAGCACAGTAAACCAACCTAAATTATTCAAATGCCACGCTGGTTTAACACGCTCTGAGACATCCATGTGACAGACTTATGCTTAATGCGATATAACACAAGCAGGTTATTCAAAATCACCTGTTCGCTGCTGTGGTTAAGAGCACATTCTCTTGCATGTACTGCCTGGACTTGAATTCTGACGGTACCATGCCCTGGCCTCTGACCTTGGCAGGTTCATCAGTGCCTCTAAGGCTCAGTATCTCTAACAGTAAGGTGGACATAACAGTTAATACCACTTCATAGGATTGCTGTCAAGGTTAAACAAGAAAAGATATGCAAAGCCCTGAACACAATTCCTAGCACACTCGATAAAAGTGACTTGTTACTTTAAATACGTAAAAATGTGTGTCAAGAGAAAAAGACTGACAGAGACTGGCCCCGTTTCCAGCCCCAGGAAATATTGTGGGCGACTTGTTTCCTCTATTTTGTTTAGTATCATTTCCCCAAAACCTTTGAGGTCATAGGCAACACAGAAATTCAAGAAATAGGCAAAGCGCTCTGACCTGTCAGTTCATCCAACGGGACTCAAAATAATGGGCAGGTGCTGCTTTTCTCTTCCAGCGGTGTTTGGCCAGCGTTTGGATGAGACCGTGGCCTACGAGCAGAAATTTGGCCCCCACCTGGTGCCCATCCTTGTGGAGAAGTGTGCGGAGTTCATCCTCGAACATGGCCTGAATGAAGAGGGCATCTTCCGGCTGCCTGGGCAGGACAACCTGGTGAAGCAGCTCAGGGATGCGTTTGACGCAGGGGAGAGGCCCTCCTTTGACAGGTACACTGCCTTCACCTCGCCCTCCCCTCTGCCTTAACTTGCGTAAGAGGACTTTTCTCTTCCAGTTGAGCTATGGGACTCACACAGACACTGCCAAGAGCCCTGGCTTGCAACAGAAAGAGCCTTTGTTTTGCTCATAGTTGAGAATGTGGGAGCCTGGGGCACAGTTAGGAGAGCATGGTGATCCCTTACCTGAGAGAGATGTGAGCTCCACCGAGAGCCTGCTGGGCAGACTCAGGAGATGTTTAGGATACAGGAGGAGGGGAGTATGGGGTAGAGGGAAAGATGAGTCCTAGTTCCAGGCCCAGCTTTCAGGGCAGATAAGGAACGTGGGGCTGAGTTGCCTGTACGACAGACTGGGTGTGGTGGAGAACGCACCATGCCCACATCCAAGGGCTGCGATGGTCTCCCTCAGCTTTCCCGAAGCGACCAGAACTGGCCCTTGTTAGTGTGGGAGAGCACAGTCCTATCCAATTCTGATCTTAGTTCTGAGTCCTTCTGGAGGGAGTACATACTAACAGGTTGGCTGCCTGGTGTTTTCCCATGGATGTTGCCCAGCCCTGTTTGGAGCATATCTGGTGCAGGGACATTTCTCCCCACCATTCCCCTCCCTCCCCACCTCCTTCAGCCTCCCAGCTGAGGTTTTCTTGTCTGCCACGCTCGGCTAGGACAACCACCACCCTACATTGCACGCGCTCTGCTTATTGTGCAATATTTGCGTTGGTTGCCTGCATGCACTTGTCCTGCTGGCAAGAAAAAGTCATTATTCTTTCCAAATCAGCGGCCCATAAACTAAGATTTGGCAATTAAGGCCTGAGCACTATCCAGTTTCCAAAGGTTGAAATTTTTCACAAGCTTATTGAGGACGGAGGAGCAGGGCTGATCCTGGGGAAGGGTGAGTAGCTGGGTGTCATGCTGTGTGGATAGTCTCACTACTCCCCTCTCCCTCTCCTGTCCCTCCAGTTCCCAGTGTTTCCATTCTGCCTCCGAAGCATCTCTAACACCCAACTATTTCCATTCTCACAGCCACTGTCTTAGGTTGGCCCACTGTAGGCCTGTCTTTGCTGCTCTTGGTACATAACAGGTTAGTGTAGCAAGGGTGCTATATTTTAATAGGAAAGCAGTGGGGTGGAGTCGTTACTTGATTTATACCAGGTTATGGGCATGAAATTTAAGGACCTTTTAGCATCACTGTAAATTGATTTTCATTACCAGGCACTCGTTCAATTAAGCTTGCCACCCTTATATTCACTTTTCTTCCTATGTTTTTAATTAGCTTTGCGTTGATCAAAAGATGCAGGTGGGTTGTTGCAAAAGCAATGTGAAGTGAGCCAGGAGGCATAGAGGTGATTTGGATTGCCAAATACCTGCCCTCGCCTCCTGCGTGTTTAAAATCAGCCTGGGTGGTAGAGTCAGTCTTTGATTCTTCTGAAATATTTGGATCTGGAAGGAGGGAAGTTATCACACATCTCCGCTGCCAGAACTGTGGAGTTCCCTCACCCAGAAATAGGAAGGGTCCTTCAGGGTCTTCCCAGGACTGGTTCTTTGGGCCCACATGCACCTTGTGGTGCTCATCTAGACCCCTACATTGGTCACATGTGCAGTTTCACTGTGAGTTCCCCAAAATTGCCTCTCTAGATGAAGGAAATCAAAGGAACTGTGTTGGCAGATTCTAGTACAGGTGTGTCAGGCTCTCATTCAAGATAAAAACATGAATTTAAACATATCTTTGTCCAGCCTCTACTAGGCTGGCTACTGCCTGATCACAGAGCTAGTACACTTCCAGTACCTACTGTCTCTGGGAGAAACGCACAGAGACATTCTGCGTTATAAGATCAGTGCTTCAAGGGAAGGTGGGCAGAGCTATGGGGAGCCGTGGCTCATCTCTGCTGGACCAGGGCTTGAACTCAGAAGCCACCTGGCTCCTGACTTGCTCTTAGTCTTTGATTTAAAACATTATTTAAGGATGTTCCATTGGGTTGGAGGAACAGCACAATCAGGAAATATCATGCTGGAAATTTAGACTATAACAATGACATCCGAGTCAGCCCTGTTCCAATGGGCCACCAAAAGTTTACAGAAATAACTAATTTTCATTGTATTAAGTGCTAAAAACGAAAAAGAGATGGTACTGTGAGAATTTAGAACAGGGGTTTTTGACATGGTCTGGTGGATTTAGGAAGCTCCCCAAGAAAATGACATTTAAGCTGAGACACAATAAAGAAGCATGAGGAGTTAGCCAGGGGAGGTAGCCTTATCTTCCCCTGGTAAAATGAATGGGCAGCTTTCAGTGCACTTCAGTGCTCTAGGATGATTTACATAGCTAACTGTGTTCTTTGATGCCAACTTTGGGGTATCTATACTGTATCTGTGGTTTATAACCCCTTTCTCTTCTAATGTTGGCTATTCGTGTTGTCTTAGTTTCTCCTGACTAAACTGTCTAGTAGTTTTTATTATTGTTTCTCTTCAAAAGACTGTTTTCTTGACCTATCCTCCATGCTCTTTTTCTCATTCCAAATTCTTTGTTTTCTACGTTCCTTCTATGGGTGTGTTTTGAGTGCTGCGGGCTGTGCCAGGCCACACACAGTGCACTGGAGAATGGAACCCTGGAGGCAGGAGGCTAGATTTAGGAGGCTGAGCAGTCCTGCTGTGGGGGGAGTGGGGGGAGGGAGGGGAAGACAAAAAAATATCCTCCTTCTGAAAAGTGGAGTGGAAAGAGGGGAGGGACTTGGAGATATTCATGTGACATTTGCATAGTAGAATTGAGGGGACTTGGGGGAGACTAATTGGATGTGGGGTGAGAGAGACCCCAATCAAACCGTAGACCCTGGATTCTGATTAAGACCTGGATGGACGGCGACATTAGGAGAATGCTGCTCCTGCCAGGTGTGCGCTGGTTGATTTCCTGACACTTTCTTGGGAACTTCTTGTGTATTCTGCCAAAAGGGCTTTGCCTGGGGATATTTTTAGGCAATGACTCAGCAGGGAAGTCTCTTCCTGAAACCCCACCCCCTGACTTCCTGAGGTCCACCATGGAGCATAGACAGCCGTCTGGTCTGTGCAGGCGGAGGTACAGAGTTCACGGGCTGCAAAAGGGTTGCCTCCAACCACTGGCTGTCACAAACAAGTGTTAAAAAATGTGCACACAGCACCAAGACAGAGCTTTCTAGTCAAGTCCTGGCATTCTCACTTCTGCTGCCCCTAAGGCCTCCCTTCTCCTCCTCCTGTCCAATCCACCCCTCCTGTCTCTCACTAGGAGGTACTCCACCAGCAGATTCTATATTCCCAATTGCTGACCAAAGGAGACACTCAGATTATCTGAACCTCTTCCCACATCACAGCTTTCTGAATTCTATCAGGACTATCTCTTAAGAACATCAGTTTTTCTTGATATGAAATAAATCAATATTTCTTTACTAATGATCTTCCAGTATATGGTAGATTCATATTTGTTTTCTCTATGGAATAAATGCAACAGCTCTATAAACCAGGAGTCAGCAGACGTTTTAAAAGGGCCACATATGAAATATTTATGTGTTGTGGGCTTGATGGTCTCTGTGGCAACTACTCAACTCTGCTCTTATCCCAACTTGGCCAAAGACTATACAGAAATGAATGAGCATAGTGTGTTCCTATAGCACTTTATTTATGGGAGCTGAAATTCAAAATTTATGTCGTTTTCACATGCCATGAAATGTTCTTGAGTTATTTCTCCAACCATTAAAAAAATGTAAAATCCATTCTTAGCTAGCTGGCTGTACAAATATAGGCAGCGGGCCGATTTGGCTCTGGGATCCTGGTGTATCAACTCCTGCGGTAAACCAGAGAAGCTGAGCTGAAGAGCCCGTGTCTCTTTCCGCTAATCAGGCGATCTAATGAATGTTGTCTCAGTTCCTGCAGCGAGTCTCCTCCCTCCCGCTCCAGGCTGATCCACATGCTGCCGGCCCCATGCTGGAACTCCTGGTCACTCTACAGATCTTGACGGAAGAGTTCCTTGTAGCTCCCCAACTCTGCGTTAAGTGTCCCTTTCCACATTTCCGTATGATCCCAGGTCCAGAACTTCCCTTGTCATGGCACTAACCACACAGTATTGTAATGACTTGGTAACATTTAAGTTTGCACACCTCTGAGGTTCAATGAAGTGAGATGTCTTGTGTGTCCCTTGGGCTCACTGCTGAAAGCCTAGTGCCTGACATAGTATCTTGCACCGAATAGTTTCTTTCAAAGCTTGTTGATTGAATAAATGATGGCATAAATATATGAATGAATCTCAGAATTATTTTAAGACTCTGAGGGATCAAATAGATCAATGGACCATGGATATAAAGCAGTTATCACATGAAAAATGAGACACCAAGTACAGAAGGCTAAATTGTGAGGTGCTAAGGGACTTGGAGGAAGAAGAAAGCAATGAAGATTAAACTGTTGAAGGATTAATGAAAAAGTAGACCTTGAACTTGCCTTTGGTGCAGTTAGGCAGAATAGATAAAGGAAAAGGTGTTGGGGGGATTATTCCAAAAAAGGAATTAGCAAAAATGTTTTGGTCAGTATACCTTTATCAGACTCTACTCCTCTGCAAAGCTTCCCTTCGGAACCTGGGTTCTATTCAGTGGATCACCAGGGGGGAGCTGAGGAGACTGCTGGAGTTTTGCTTTCAAAGGGTGTTGCTTATTTTCTTCCAGAGATACAGATGTGCACACGGTGGCCTCCCTATTAAAGCTCTACCTCCGAGACCTCCCAGAACCTGTGGTTCCCTGGAGCCAGTATGAGGGATTCCTGCTCTGTGGGCAACTCATGAATGCAGATGAGGCAAAGGTTGGTATCTCATTAGAGTGAGGCGTCCTGCTTGGAAAGAAGGTGATGGCTACTGAACACTATTCTGGTAGGCAGGGAACAGTGTGTCAGGAGGTCCATACCTGTTGGTGAGATACTTTGTCCAACAGGAACTTCCCTGGAAACCAAAGACAAATGAAGCCAATCATGGTGACAGCCTTCACGGGAGGTAACAATCCAATAGAGAATTGGCCCCTAATCAAATACCCCAAAGTCACTTTAAAGTTAGTAAGAGAGGGAGGAGGCATTTGATAAGGGTTTCAAGCAATATGGCCTTGTTGAGACCCACTGGGACAGAAGATCAAGCTGCCCACCTTGGAGAGCAGGTGAGAGGCCTGACTGTACTAGCTCCATGACAACCACAAGTATCAGACATGGGCATACAGAGAACGCACGTGCCAGAGAGAGGAAGGATGGAGCTTTTCTTGTCCCTTTCAGCTTCAGCTGCCTGTGCGGTCTGTGGCTCCCTGAGGTAATTCCTCTTCTCAGAGTTTTGTGTGTGTCTTTCAATAACTTTTTATTTTGAAATAACTGTAAATTCACAAAATGTTGCAAAAAACAGTATGGAGAGGCTCATTGTTTTTTTGTAGTGTTACTTTTTTATTTGTTCTTCTTCCAAGAACCCGAGGCAAGGACTATCAACAACTCATACCCACAGTAATTGCTTAATGAACATTTGAGATGTAACACTCCACTAGCACTGCCAAAGTGTTGCTGCTACACAGACACACCAGTTAGGTTCCAAGGTCTTATTGCTGGCAAGTGAGCAGGCTCATTTACTGGTATTAAAAATGTCTTCCCAGGCTCAGCAGGAGTTGATGAAGCAGCTCTCCACCCTTCCTCGAGACAACTACAGCCTCTTGAGCTACATCTGCAGGTAGAAGCACCCCCGGTATCAGCTACACAGTTTCTAGTCAAGGGGGTGAGGGGTGAAGGGGGCCTCATATATGGTGATGCAAGATGACCTGACTTTGGGTGATAGGTACACAGTGCAATATGCAGATCTTGTATCATAGAAATCCACACCTGAAACTTATATGATCCTATTCACCAATGTTACACCAGTAAATTTAATA